TTCCATTCCTGATCCCAGAGTCTGCACCACTCAAGGCGATTACGTCGGTGTTCTCGAGTTAAAGGGACGACCCCGTGTGGCCGGTATGAAAACAAGCCAAAACTTCTCATTCGTCGGTAAACACTTCGCATGCCAATAGGTCTTCCGTGTTCTGCAAACCATTCATTTGCAATGGACCTGGTAATGGAGAAACGGTCCCTTGAGGCCAATAATCTTAGGCGGCGATCTTCACGGTCTGTTGTTCTACGGCGGCGTCCAGTGCCCCTTGCTCTTGGCGTACGGCCTTCTCGAAGCCATGCCTGACAACACCTAACCACAGTGTCTACACTTCTTTGCACTCTAACTGCAATTGCCCGAAAAGAATGTCCAGCTTCCCGAAATCCCCCTATACGGCCCCTATCAAACTCACTAAGTTGACGAAATCGTACAGGTCTCCGTACTCTAGGCATCGTAACCGATCGCAAAGGATGTCAAGAACCAAAATCCGCCAACGTTGATTCTTTACTGCGGCTGAAATATTCATTTTTAGAGCGTTAGTGAATTAAAAAAAAGCAGTATAAAAACCGGAATATCCAACTGATAAGGCTGAAAATTTTTTCACTTGTTATTTACAGTAAGATAAATACATTCACCAACTTTTATTAAAATAAAAACCATTTAAACTGGGTGGTCGGATTTATATGTCACTTAGTATATTATCACAATCTACAAGAGGAGGCTTTTCCCAGTTATACTAACCTTAGGCAGTTAAGAATAAATTATCAAAAAAAATTTTTGGACAATTCAGAGGCTCCTAATAATTATAAAACTTTTTGTCGGGTCGGGGCTAAAATCGAAGGCAAGTGGTTATAGGGGCTGGAGGTGAGCATATCTCTGCGTCGCAAGCGCAGAGCGAACCAACTTGACGCCATATTTCCTTTAATTGTTAATATATGACTATTATGTTCAGTATACATTCAATTATACAAACTCACTGATCGTAGGAGCGGATTCAGTATTTGTTTATTTTTTTGGAGTCGGTCGCATATTCTGCTTGTGTACGAATCATACGTTTTCGAATACATAAGGTAAAAGAAGTCAGGAATAGACCTCCAGGAGACTGATTGTAACTGAAATTCAACTTTTGAAAGCAGTTTCGTTGTCGCTTTGCCAACAGAGATATGATTCACCGTTATACTTTAACACTAGATTCTTCCGATTTTTATATAAAAATTATCCCGACTGTTTTAAATTGTATTAGAATGTCACAAATTGACTCCTCTCTCAACTTCATGGAAGACCTTTTACAAGGAAAGGTTATATAGAAAAATTGTAGGATACAATATAAGGTTTTTCAGGCAATGTCCCTTTTATATTCTCAGAAAAGTGCTGTGGAATAAAGTTGTATTTTTTAATGGCACACCCTATATATTTTAAGTGAAAATCAAAGTCGCTTTTTTTATTCCAATTATATACGGTTCATTATAATTCAGTCAAGAATGTATGTGTCATTTGATCATACATTGCGTAGGCATCTGCGGCTAGATGCAAACTGGTTTGAACTAAAGTATAAGTAAATGATGTTCAAAATTTCAATATTTGGAACCAGAAAAAAAGCGATTATTATCTTCAATAAAGGTGAGCAGGGTATGCCTTTAGATAAAATATAGCTTTATTTGATAGTACTAGATAGATAAGTATGTAAAAAAAAATTTGCATGTTAAACTTTATATTACAACTTTTGTATAAAACATTTCTAAATGGTCATATAAATAAGTTAAGAGAGTAGTCAATTTATAGCGGATCACCGCGTAAATATAATTATTTTACTATGGGGTGTAGGACTCCTAAATTAATTTTTGGATCAATTTAAAATAACCGAATACCAGTTAACGATAGCAAGGCAGCCCTTTAACTGGAGCACTTCACCCTCTTTGCTCTTCCCCCTTCCTTCCTTTCTTTCTTCTTTCTTTCTTTCTCCCTTACTTCGTCTGGTATCTGGGTACCCAGACCTGACAGACCTACTAACTTACGGTACTTCAACAAAGAGCGAAGGTCCCACGGATCGCTCTGACAGTAGGTTGTCCAACAGACAATGGAACTGATTTCGTAACCAGCGGTTCTCTGTTTCAACAAATTCCATACTGATTCTCAGCCGGTACTAAACTTTTTTTAACAGTTTTGGTTCTGAGACACAATTAAAAGTTTGAATCTGCTAGCGCATGCGGGCTTCCAGAATAAATGCTACTCATAGCTGGGAAGCTTGGGTTTGTGGCCGCCACCTTGTGCCTTTTATAACATTTTCATCTCATGATGTATCACCGCTAGATCTCAACCATTTATTGTGCCGTTTATTGCACATATGCGAAAACTAGATGATGATCACGATTACTGTGTAACAGATTCCAGTGAAGATGAAGATGTTAAGTTGATTCTGGCGACTTCAAGTACCATCAATGAAAATTATAATATGTAAGGATGGGTAATTCTAATAAATACGTTTTTACCTTGTTATTACTTTGCCCAATGAAGTCGTCTCGAGTGTAGAAATTCATTTACGAGTAGAATTAGTTGCCAGACTAAACATGTTGCCAATGGCTCATTGAAAAAGGTACGAATAATTTGTATATGCTTGAATTTTGGAGATGGTCGCATCAAGGCTATCTATTCCACCCAATTTCTCCTAGTAAATATATAGCACATTATTTTGGATTCCCTTTGGAACTACAGACCTACATCCGACCCCAATATCACATTCCCGTTGTCTTGGCCTTATTTCCTGCGATTCCGCGTTATAAGAGCTATTTCCGGTGTGTCCGGATTTTTTTACGATCACAATTCGTTCCAGATGATTCCGCGCGTATGTTTGATGCTCAGTTTTCCTGGCGAGCATTATTCTACTTCAAACCGGTGGAAGAGATCATATCGGAAAGCAGAAGAGTGCCGGGGAGTTTTCATTTCCTGTTTAGGAATATATGAGGACGCTGTTCTGTTTGTCTGTTTGCCGCCGTACTTGGTAGGTAGACGGTCGCGGAAAATAGAATTTTCTTTTTTATTGCAACGAGATGAACGAGAACAGTGCGTCCCTTGATCTCTGCCCGTTATTGCAGAGTTAAATAGATTTGTTATAGGATTGTTGTATTTTGAAGCTGCTTTACTGTAGGAAAAGATCAGCTCACCAAAAGTTGAATTACTTATCAAATGTTTCCCTCCTAAGCACGGCTCACATTGTTATACAACATAGCTGGTATGATTAAATCATTGAAGAAATTACCGAAAAAAGTAAATAGGGTGCATGAGATTTATTTTCTAGTTCATTTATATCATTTACAGCTCCTTTTGTTTGCAAAATAGTGAGTTAATAATATAACTTGAAGGGCGTTCTACTTGATAAAATACAAAAACATAAAAATAAAGAATCCCACCCTATAATTCTGAGTACCCAATACATCTTTCGTTCAGATTTAGGCATTACTGTGTTAAATGCTGATCAAAACCTGATAATAAACCTTGAAGTTTTGAGTTTCGTGCCACAAAAACTGCTAAAAATAAGACTCTTAAGTATATAAAAATGTTTAGGTGAAAAACAAAAGAGGCTCAATCGATCTATTTTGATAATTGAGGGGTTTGGAAGTGAAAAGGTTCAAGTGCACTTTTTTAAGTAAATGGTAAGTAAAGTGCAGAATATCATCCCTAAAGCATATCCTAACTTGGTGGTAAAATGATTTAAATGCAGGCAACGTTCCCTAGCACCATCTCTCATAGTCTTTGAGAACATATCAAAATATCCACTAATACAGTATGTGGTAAAATGATTCAAGTGCACTTGAACCATTTTACTTACTAAGGCTTTCGCAACTATGTTTAATATTTTACGCGTGACGTGATTTCAACGTTTTACTTATTCTTAGTTAAAAGTACGCATTTTGCAGTGTTGGTAGTGTTATAATAATAAACAGAATGAGTACTGATTGGGAACGCAAGGTATCTCTCAGCAAAATTAAGTATCAATAAGATGTACAAATTATATCAGAAGCTTTGTATTGACCAACAAGAATTACCAGTAAAAGAGTAGAATTGCAGGCATATTTTCAATACGCAATTCAATTTAGGATTCCACAAGCCCTATAGTGATACCTGCAGTCGTTGTGACAATTTACAAAATTTAATAAAATATTCTACAAATGAAGATGTGATTAAAAATGCCAAGCAAGACCTCGAGCTGCACCAAAGAAAGGCCCAGAAAGGAACAGATGCCAAAAAAGCTGATATTGATGAAAATAAAAATGATTCTAAAAATACGGCTGTAATTTGTTTTGATTTGCAACAGGCATTGCCGACGCCATTGTTAACCACCTCTAAAGTCTTTTATCTTCGTCAATTATGGACGTATAACTTCTGTGTCTTTGACTTAATGACTGGAAAAAGTTATATGTATGTATGGAACGAAGCTATTGCATCCAGGGGCTCACAGGAGATAGGCTCATGTTTAATAAAATTTGTGCAAAGTCTTCCATCTACAGTTACGGAGATTATTGCATACAGTGATTCGTGTGGAGGACAAAATAAGAATAAAAACATTTCTAAACTATTTAGTTTTATTGTTCAAGCTTCACATATATGTGACATTCATCACAAGTTTCTTGAACCCGGGCACACTTACATGGAATGTGACCGTAGTTTTGGCTTAATCGAGAAGAAAAAAAGGCAAATCCCTCAAGTTTTGTCCCCGCAGATTGGGAGACTGTAATAAGAGGCACATCGGCCAAATTTATTGTGTACAATATGAACAAAGACGATTTTTACTCTTTTTTGCCGGTCAATGAAATTATGAACGATCCAAAAAAAAAATAGTGACGGTTACCCCTTAAAATGGAAAGAAATTTGCTGGTTTGCTTACAATAAAAGTGAAAGACTAACATTTCGATACAAGAGTACCCTAAACATTGATGTGAGTGAGTTTAGCAGTTGCTTAATGGCAACCTCAAAAGTTGGGCGTCCGTGTTTTAACTTTTCAATACTAAAGCCTTTGAATGGCACTTCAATAAAGATTAAAGTCGCTAAGTACGAAAACTTGCTTAGCTTATTGGAATACATTCCGCCCATTCACCATACATTTTATAAAAACATGAAGCACGATGGGAAAGCATTAACAAAAAAAGGAATAAAGAGACAAACACAGACCCTGACATCAAGCCAAAAAGTACCTCATATAGATGAACCCCAACCAAGACGAACTGATTCAGATGAAGAAAATGATGAAGACATCCAAACATTAGATTCTGATTATGAATAAGAAATTTTGTTATAGATTATTTTTAAATAATGTTTGGTTTAGTACGGTAGTTGCACTTGAATCATGTTACCACCATAATTTTTGTAACATGTATAATGATTCAAGTACATTTTTGCAAAAATGACAATAAAAAAGCAAAATTAAGAAAATGTTTTTTGTTTGTAATGTTTTATTGGCATTTAAATAAACTTAATATAGTGTCATAAATTTATTCTGGAATTTTCAAATTCAAGTAAACTTTGAAGCCATTTATCCCAGAACTACTAAAAATGTACTTAAACCCTTTTACTTCCAGGCCCCTCAATTAATTACTACTATTCATTAGATTTTTTTTTATTTAGTCAATCATGCCAATGTGCAACCCAAAAACTGTGATAAAAAACATAAAAGTGAAAAATATCGAGACGGATTATTTTTTTTTTCGTCGTCTAGTTTACGTCACTCCTACGTAACCTTGTCGTACAGGTGTACAAAATTTCAAAAAAAGCGGTCCAACCGACCTGTGATATTAAAGATTTGGCATACCTGGCAAAAGCAACTCTGCTGCAATTTATTCTACGATTTATGATTCATAAAAATCCAGTTTTATCTGGAAAATATACCTACAGATTCAAGCGGCCAGATCTTAGACTGTTATAAAAGTGGACCTGTTAAGGCACGGCGTTGCCAGATGGTTCGAGCGGAATTTCCCCAGAACAAGCACAAAAACACCATTTAAAAAACACACAAATCGTAGTAAATTAATGGAAAGGAGTAGGTCTGGTTCAAACGTGTGATTTTCCCCAGAATATTATATGCCCAAAAAGTTCCCCAAGTAACAATCCCCAAAATTTAAAGGAAATTTCCCAATATGGCAATCCTCTTAAAGCACCGTACTGCACTACCGTAGTTTATTCTGGCATAAAGGAAAGTGTTGATTGGACTCAAATGGACACAGTAGAAGTAGCACACAGCTCACGCTAGATGGTGCTACTAACAGCAGAATCTTCTCATTCCATGTTCTGAGCATGTTGTTCCGTGTCCTAAGTTCCTGACAAATTGGCACTTCAATACTTAGAAAGTGCTTCGAATTATAAAATTATCAATCCTCGACCTGTTCGACGACGCGATATCATGCAGTACTTTCAGGTAAGGTCCTTAGGTATTCTAATATATATTACATTTAACTAACTATGAATAAATTATTTTCTGAATGGTTCAGACAAATAAATAATATTGCTTCGTCAAAGGCTGCAATCACCAAATCCAAGAACATCATTGCGTATAATCCAATAATGGGCAGCAGCGAGACAGGCAAACACAAAATCAACAATTTAGCAACTGAATCCAGCGTTATGTTTGTTAAAGAGGTGAGGTGCAGTTATGGAAAGGCAAAACGCGTTATTTACTAGTTTGCTTAGTTCTCTCGAAGATAATAGAACTCGTACATCCAAGATTTCGCACTATATAGTTACATACAGCCCACAAGAAATGGCGTACCTAACACGGGTAATTTGTTACTGTTCTTTTGCTCTGAAGAGGAGGGCTCTGTGATTTCCGCCTCAACGTATGACAAAGTCTAATCGAGCCTTACCCAGATTGGTTCGATTTGCCCAGAGGCTGTTACCGATCGGTCACAGACCGAAGTGCAGGTCGTTCGCGGTCCGTCGTAGACGAGCAAGTTAACGGAGTTAACGGTTAACGGCGGGCTAACGGCCGTTTTACTTTCTTCGCCGGATTAGAAACGTACCGATTTAACGGCCGGCTGTGAACGAACGCATTCGCCGAAATTCAATTAAATTCGGGAGTTTATCGAGCGGATATACACGACGACGCGACGCGTTTGCTGCTCCCTTCAAGCTTCCGAATGAGTCGAAGGAAGGGTGAGAGTATATAGAATCCAAAAAGTAGTCACAGAAAGCCTTTACTTATCATACTAAGGTCACACGCAGGAGATTTGTATTTGCTGGATTCGCTTCGTACCTCCGCTCACATCTGGCCATCCGCGATAGAACCGCTCAGCTACAGCTTATCCTAATCTATCCGCGCGGCTGCGCTCTATTAGGAAAAAACAGATTACATGCATGGTTTTCAGCAGGCGGTAATGAAAGTTTAGCTTTGCGAGACAATTCGATGTTGCCCTCCAATCAAGCGATATAGGCACCTTTTGTGTCCCTCAGAATTTATCCATTCTCAATGTAACTGTCCACAAAGGAGTCCTACAGATGAATTAGTATCAATCATTGTACAAAGATTTTGATAGCCAGCCATTTCTGCATTTCTCACGCAAGGGTGACATCACCCTTTGAGCCAGCTACAAACATGTATCTTAAATCATTAGATTTAGAAATAACTTTTTAAAAAATTTTATTTGAGGACTGAACCTTCAGTCCATATAAAATACAAAGGTTTACAAATGTGACATTTACGGAGTCTAACCGGGTATTGAACGACATGAAATGGGCGCAATGCCTATTTATACTATTGGTGTGCTTACAAAGCACTTCTAGAAAATAAAGCGTAAACAACGAGTTAGCGAGAAGTCGTTATCTGTTGCTGAGCTAGCGTCTGGTGCAACATTGTATGGAATAGTAAGTCCATTGTTTTGAGTGCATATAACATGTATAACAAAAAAAAAAACAGGTCAAGTCGAACCCAACGATTGGATAACGCTAATTTCTTTCCGACCGACCATTTGGCAACGTTTCTGAACCACACCAGTTAAATGTACGATACTAGATTCGTAGTCCATTTACTCCCAGACAAAATACAACATGCAAGAAAGCCAGATTGCACAGATCCGTATTTTCCTCAATGGTCTTGGAATAATCTAATAAAATGAATGATTATTTTTATAGAAAGAAGCGCACATACTTTCCACAATTCTTTATTCGCTGGAAGTACTTGAATCATCGTCCGAATGGTTAATATTAATTATTACAGGGTCAATTTGAATATTGATCGTATTGTCCAGATCCCACATCCTTGTTTAAATTGTCTCTTGAACGTGACGGATGCAATCTTACGGTTTGCCGTCACTCTGTTGACAGCTTCATAAAATTTTTCACGTCAGAAAATTTGAATATCATATTGTTTGAAGCCGCATAGTTTTTTATATTTGCCCAAAGCATTTCAGTGGGATTTAATTCGCAGTGAAAAGGGGGTAGCCATAAAACGGTCTTATTTTGGTTTTTAGTCATTAAGATTATATTTATATTTGTGCTGCCGGACTAGATGGGCAAGTTCTGCGTTGACCATATTTTCATTGAAATGAATGTCTGTTAACAGGAGCCATTGTTAGATTTCTGCCTTTCTTCTCGTCAGTGTGGGAATTTTTTCTAGTTTTATCAAATACAATGACGGCATTGTCGTCAAGCTTTGGGAGCAATTCTTCAAACCGTGGTTCAAATGAACTCCCGTCCATTTCTTCATGGTAGTCGGTCGTTTTCTTTGACTCAAATGCCCATAGGGCAGTGGGCCCAAAGCCATCTTCACTGTCAATGTGACAGATAACAAATCGTTTTCCTTTTCCTGGAAATAATTGTTTCATATAGTATTCAAGAAAACTGATAATAATGCAAGCATCTAACAGGTATTGGTTCCAAATCTACCAAATATAGCTAGCTTTCCGTACGACATGAGGCGCTAAGCGTTTTGAAAACGTAGCCCTTTCAAGCCAAAGAAGGAGAATACCGGTCCAGGCTGCGGTATCTCTTTATTGATTTTAAATAGTTTCTTCCCCATAAAATAATCTCTTGGCTGTCCATCAAAATACTATTTCTGCCCGGTTTCTATACTCAATATGAGGTTCATTGAGTAAACCATAGAATATGGTCCTTTTGAAGGAAGGTAAGTCTTCATCACTGTACTACTTTGTCTATGGTGAGAAGTTTCTGCCTTTCAAAAAATTGATGGATTTTGCGTCTTATGGCATTCCGATCAAAGTTATCAACTGTATCCAACAGCTATGTGTAATGCAGCCTCTTGTGTGGTGTAGACATTTCTTTGGTAAAAAAATGAAAACTAATATGGTATATTTTCAAAATAAAAAGTCGCAGTACTACATCGATTTGAAGATTGACCTAACGCCTTTGGACAGTCTGTTGATGGGCGGTTGTATCGCGGCTGGCCAAACGTCAGCAGAAGTAGCCTGGCAGCGCGTAGCAGAGCGAGTTTGAGTGCGCGGAGTCCTTAGCTGTTTCATGGACCGAGGGAGGATCCTTCTATGAAACAAGTTTGACACCGTAGTGATCCTGCTGTTCGCAATTTGTGTACCTTGGAACGGGCTTGCTCATAGGGTGCCGCCGTTTTATTTATCGGAATACATGAGGGAGGTATTGTAAATTGTAATCCTACAAGATTTGACACGTCGTCCCAATTCTTACATCATATGGAATATTTAAAGTGAGTACGGGAAACTTGATACGTAGCTAAGTGGCTTTGTCAGAGCTCGCATTGCTCTCTCTGCTCGCAACACACTTTTGGCAAGGACGGAAAATCCCTATAAATGCGACTTGTAGTTATATTATACTGCGAGTTTTAGAAAAAACGAGTCATGTAATATTTATATTAATATTTTCAGTAGCTAATCTTTCCTAAGACCTACTTTGCGATGCCTCTCCAGTAGTTGTACCGCCATCCCCATTTTTTTAAGCAGAAAACGACTGACACCCCCAGTACTTCAATCAGCGAGAAAAATCCCTGTTTACGCAATTTGAAGCTATATAGGAAAAACGGCACATGTTATGTTTATATTAATATTTTCAGTAGTTAACCTTTTCTAAGACCTGCTTTGCGATTCCTGTCCAGTAGTTGTTCTGGTATCCCCATTTTTGTAACCCAGAAGACGACTAACACTACCAGTGCTGCAATCAGGCTGAGAATTTGATCGATGCCTATAAGAATTTTGCGGTGTTTTCATGAATTCCAGATTCATATCCTGAGTCTTTCAATTATTATCATCAACCACATCTATTAAAGGATATGACAACATAATAATAATAATAATAAACGTCTTTATTTCCAAATGGACTGATTATATAAAAAAATAGCCAAATACGGGC